AGAGGTACTTTACAGTCTCATCCAAGTAAGAAATATCATTATCATGCTGTTTTTCGTGTTCTTTAAAGTGAATTTTCGGAAGTAAAGAAGATTATTGTGTCACAAACTATGGCAAGGTCACGCACACGCTTTGCGTGCAACGTAAATTAGAAAAGAGACGCAAAGAAAGAAAGAGAATTGATGCGTCCTATCTGCGTAACGTAGTCATCAAAGAAACAGGACTGCGTATTGAGCCATATGGGGATGAAGTTGCTAGGAGCTACAGTCTTGGAGACAGAATGAAATGGAACAGCAAACCCTCCCCGCCCTCCACTCGCCCTTCCCCCCACCCCCCTTCCCTTAAATCAAGAATGAAGCCGTGCGAAAGAGAAAGCCCAAACGCGCCATATTAACATCCTTGATATGGGGGGGAGGGGATGGGGTCTAAATTTTCCACCTTAATATTTTGTCCAAGATTGTATATCTAAAAAGACCTGACGCAGGCTACGTAAAATGGAGAAGAGTTGCAAGCGAAATCTATCAAACTCCTCTTATTAGCACGTTAATATCCTTAAAACTGTTAAAAGAGAAAAAAGGATCTTTATATATCTATGATTAATACGCGGAGATAGTTGAATCCTCAGTTCTCTTTCTTTGACCTGCAAAATAAAAAAGTTGATGCATCCGTGTTATTTACATGCCACATGTTCCACAGCGTAATAGAAAAATTAAGCGTGCATAAGCAGTCATAACATTATATTTTCCTCAGACATTTGTTTGCCCCAACCCATTTTCGTCATATTTGCTTTACAACCTCTGCGACGAGAACAAATTAAGGGAGTTTAAGCAAAGACGTTTTCGCGCGACGCACGTCAACCGGAAGTGGATTGTTTCTGCTCCTCGGCCGTGATTTTGAGCACCTTCTCGGACAGATCCTCTCTATAGAAGTAAAGTCACTGTGTAGTTCCAGAAAATATCTATTACGCCCCCCCCAACGGAGGGTAACAGAAATTCCAAAGGGGACGGGGGGGGAAAAGGTGGCAATTTCCGCGCTCTACTGTCTGAACGCCTGGAACAGGCTAGTTATCTATCTCTTGCTTGTTACACAATATATTGTGGTATTCAATGTAATGTGAGCATGTTCTTATAAGCCTGCTTCTAACATGTTTTTAACTGAAAGGAAGTAATTGAAGTTCACTGGTTTGAGAAATGGCATCACTTGTGTCGAGAACGACCGTGCCGCCTTCATGGTTCTCTGTGACCACTACAAGGCAAAATTGAGATCATTTGACAATGTATTAACATAAATAAAAATATTTTTTCCCTCTTTATCGCAGAAACAATTATCTTTCGCATAAAGTATTTTGCAACGGCATTTTTGACGGAAATATTTTTCCAGGGGGTATCCAACCAAGTTGGAAAATTTCGGAAATTCCAGGGGTTGGGGGAGGAGGAATGTCAAACACCCCCTGGTGGTGCAGGTGGGGACCCTAAAACAAAAGTGCCCTCCGTGGGGGTGGGGGGGAGGGGTATGGATATTTTTGGAACTACAAACTACAAATTTGGTAGCTTTAAGCAGAAAAAAGGTCACTTTCCGAATAATAACCGTCCCTCGATTAATGGCCTCCCTCGAAAAATCGCCTCCCCTCCGCCCTTAGACGGAAATTTGTAAAATAATCGCTCCTTCCCCTACCCCTCTCACCATCATCTCTTTCTTTTATTCCCGGGGCTACACCTGTTTGCCCAGCGTTCTGATTGGTCCATAGTACGTCTAAGTCTTATGTGATTGGCCGGAATAACTACCCTGGTTTTTGTGAAACTAACACAACAATTGCTCTGAGTCTTACCTGTCCTTGTCACCGCGAGTCATTTTCTTAAAAACAGGATAGATTAGTATGGGATACAAGGCATGCCATGTAAGGACGACCACGGGAACAATATAGTAAAGGCTCCACCAGATCTAAATACAAAAAAAAAAGAACATGAACCGGGACATTGTGACAAAACCAGTACCGGAAAAGGAAGATAATTTTTTGAACTAAGGTTCAAAATGGAGTACTTAAAATTTGGGACGGCTGGTGGGAAAATCGTAATAGGCCGAGACCGTCGTAAATATTACGAGTTCAATCACAAAGTAACATTTCCAGGTTCAGCTGATGGCCCTTTTTTTTAATCTTAAAGTTGGGTATTGGCTGTGGCGCGAGACTGGAAGCGATACAGAGGTTTAAAAAAAGCTACATTACCTCTTGTAACCACCAACTAAAATGACAAGACTAACATTCCGGGATTCTGAATGAATTATATCATTAAACATCCGTTCGGTCTTCTTAGTAATTTTCTAAGTGGAAAGAAGATGATGTGAAATGTGGGAATACACGTCATCTTCATTCTATGTTACATTCTTTTCCCAGGTTACGATGAACACAACAAATTGGCCTGTTTCCAATGTATGGGTCTTCGTAGCTCAGTTGGTAGAGCACAGCAGCGCTAGCGCAGAGGCCATGGGTTCGAATCCCGTTGAAGCCCTGAAGGTTTTTGACGGGTTTATTTGCTATTGCGAAAATTGCGATTACAACTGCCATAGCCATACCTTCATATAAATTTTGTGCAATTATTAACTGTTTGAAAATTTGGAAGTTTCCTCGGCCTGGCCCACAAGATCTTACCTTACTTTAAATGGCAGAGAAGGTTTTACAAATTGATCTAATTACCGTAATTCAACATCATTCAGCAACTTTCTAATCACAGAACTTTCTCAGCCTCATACTTTCAAAAAATAGAAATTAAAGAATTTTACAGCCAGCAAATACAACCGTATATCTTCGCTCTTCACCGCTAAGAACGAAGCGTCTCTAGCGGGGTGGAGCGAGGATAGACAGCTGTATTCGCAGACTAAGAGTTTTCTCACCCGATGGAATCGTTGAAAGCTAAGCAAATTAAAAGCCACATTACAGTATCCAAGACCAAACATCATAATGAACCAATACCCTGCAATAACAGGGATTTTGACGTATGCGGGCGTCGCTGCTAAAGGCTTCTGGGCCACCGTGTTACACATGTTGGTTACCTGGTAAAGAAAGGGGTAGAACATCAGCGACAGTAAGCAAACAGCAAAGTGCTCTTGATTTTCTCATTGAACTGCTAATAGTCCAGCTTAGAGTTCCCCATGACCGTTGAATGAAAGCACTGAGAAGACACTTTTGAACAGGGTTAGCCTTTACCTGAAGTAAATACATTCACAGCGAGAAAAGGACCTTCTCACAACTCTGTCTATTATTTATTTTCACTTTACAGACACCTTCCTGTCGGTCACGCAAATATTTTATTTGAGGTCGAGGCTAACCCTCTATCAATGAGTCATTAACGTTTGTACTCAGCGGTAATTTTTTATCACGAAAAGGGACTATTGAAAATTCTGCTCATACATATGGCGGACTGTGTGGAGAAAGCTTAGGCCGTAGTTAAAAAAACTGAACCTCAAAAAGGATCATTTACGCTTAGATGAAAGTCTAACCTGTTTCTCCATCAAGATGATGACAAATTCTAAAAAGAAGCAGATAAAATATCCCACAAATAACCCATGCCAAACTGCTAGGAACATTAGCGTCAAGAAGTGAGACAGATTCTTGTTCCCGAGGAAACGAAGTCGTTTGAAGACGTATCTACAATAGAGTCAAAACAGTTTTATCAGAATGAGAATTTGCCAAAAAAGGTGCTCTTTTTGAATTTGAAAAGGAACGCAAAAGAAAAGATTCATTTTGCAAAGACTATATTTAATACTGAAGTAGCTGAGTGGAACATCGGTATAACGAAGCTATCCATCGATTTGGGACGGGATTCAATATGGCTTCCTCCTTCGCGACAGTGTCAGAAGACGACACTTTAGCGACAAAATGAAGCAGTTGTACCAACAAATTCAAGAAAGCGACGAAATTTGGCTCGTCAGGGTTTACTGGTACGTAGAAGGGTATTTTTCCACTGTTTTTGTGACAAAGACGTGGATGCAACTGACAAACCTACGAAACACATTTAAGTAAACCAGGCTGTTACTTCTTTGCAGCGGAAGGATAAACGCATATGAAAAAATATTATCTACACACCTGAATACCCATTTATTTGTATTGATATTGAAGGAATCGATACATTGCTGAAAAATAACACAACGAGTATCAGCGCTATGAAGTGATCTTTTCTGTACTTATTGGTCTGCTTCCCCAATCGGGTAAGATGAAGTGCATCCGAAGTGTTCTGACTGACTACGCAAAAGTTCAAGATTGGCCCATCTTACTCGCTCGGGATTTCCCTTACTTTGCAAGGAAACATTTTCTTTATTGGCCATCCTTTATTGACCAATTGTTCGGTCTTTACCATAAATTAAGGAAACAACAATAACTTTATTTGTACCCTACAATGATTTACATGATACAAAAAAAATTAGATCAAATATGGAGAGAGTACAGGCTGCCCATAATAACCATTGTGGGCTAAAAAGATAGGACAGCCTTACTTAGATTATTAATAAATGATTATATTAAAGAGTCAGGTACCGCATACCACAAACGCCATCTTGCCTAGTGCAAAGCGGTCCAATGAAAGTACCTCAGCTCACCTGAAAAGTATACATAGTCTCGTAAACCGAAACCTTGATATTTCTAAGTCCATCCCACATCACTTTACCATCTTTTGTCCGACCGTTATAACTTAGTCCTGATATAATGCAACTTCCTTCCTAAGAAACAACAAACAAAAACTTCTGTCAGATAGAAGCCATGTTGTAGTTTGTAAGCAACGTAGGTATCTTAAGGTCGTAGGGCGTGTGTGGAAGAAAGTACCTGTTGAAAAAAATGAATTAGATTACAAAGTCCACTTGTCAAATCTTGAAATCTAATTTATTTTCTTTTTTTACAAAAATTATGGACTTTGGACTTCATGGTAATGTATTCATTTTCTTCTCTTTTTTAGAAAAGCACAACAGCACTTGTCAAATACTACAGACGTAGCATTAGAATAAGCTGATGTAGAGACTGTACAATTGCATGTGTGTAAGGTGTGTACTCAGAGTGTGAATGTATGCTATGTGATAATTATTGTGATTGTTGTACTTTGAAATAACTGAAATTAAAAAAGTAACTGTTGAAGGGACACTTTGCCATTAACTACATGCATGGTTAAGAAAATACAGTCGAACCTCCCTTAAGCGACCACCCAAAATGTGAAGATTAAATGGTAGGGCAAACCTCCCTGAATTTCGTCGTCGACGAAGGCTGGACGACGTTTTGACAACCTTACGCATGCCCAGGGGCAGGAGGTCGCTTGGGAGAATCGAACCACAGGAGCTCCTCCCGAAAAGAGGTCCGGTCACATCTACTTTTTGCACCTACTTTTTGGACAAAGTTTACGACGTTTCGGCGCTTTCGGACGTCAAATCAAACGAAAATAGAATATGAACGTTCTATACTGAAATGCAAGAAACTCTTTGTTTAACTTGTAACATACTTAAATATGTTCCTTTTTTATGACCCACTGTTTTTTTTTTCCTTGTATTTACAGAACATTCATATTCTGTTTTCGTTTACTTGATAATGACGTCCGAGAGCACAAAGTTGCGCGGAAAAAAGGGTAAAAATATGTCCCATGGTTCATTTCAACGCAACATCGTTCGTCCAAGGACCATGCGCAACCCGGCTCAAAACAACAAAAGCGTTTATGAATAAAATATTTTCGATCAACAGCACTTTACCGAAACAGAGGCGAGTAAAAAGAGCGAGAAAAGTGGACTTTTCAGTGTCATAGTAACGCCATTATCAAGGGTTCTATTAAGTAACAATTAAGCGAATGTATTTAAAGAGTTTCCAATCTCGAATAATTAGCATAGTAACAAACGGAAATTCTTTTAACACACACTTTAGCACGAACAGAGTAAGTGTGCAAACAAACTACTTTGGAAAAAGAGATTTTTACTTACTGAGAGGCACCATACAGCCAAATACTTCATAAGAGCTAGTTTGCTGAAGAATATAACGAACCAAGCTTTACCAAGCAATGAGAACCTCTGCGGACAACAAAGCAGTGCTCAAGATTAAACACGCGGCACGGTTCATAAGGACTAACTCATAATTTTAATGAAGGATATTCAGCGTAATAGTATTGTATATCTATAAGCTAAGCAGGGCTCGGAAAAAAAAAACTTGAATCCCAGATTGTCCCTTGGACAAGTAGCTCTCACAATATGCTCACCCGAAGTCACTTCTTGATCTTCTTAGCTAATGATTTTGTTAGAGAATGACTTTTCTGGACACTAGGGCATTGGGCAAGTAATCTTTAAAAATTACCCAGCAGGGAAATGTACTTGTCAAGGACTACCGGGCGGGACATTTTTTGAACCCTGCTAAGTCACTCCACCTCTCGTGGGGTGACCACAGACTACATCGTCTGGCGCAAAATATCGGCGAAGCTCGGCATGCTTCCTAAAGCGTGCAAGGTCATTCCGCGTGAGTTTAACACTTTATAACGCCATGTTATTTCCAGTATTCGACTATTGCGCTGTCGTATGAGCCTCCCTTACTTTAGTTTGTGCTATTTTTTTATCTTTATTTGTCTTGTGTGTTGCTGTTTTTTTTCTTTTTCATCAAGGCCCCATTCAAACCAGCCACGCTAAACTGGGCACCCCTCACTACATATTGTTTACAATAAAATATAATAGAATAAATATAAAAATAAATAAAGTAGATACCATGGTCAGTAAGGCCAAATACCAAAGCCCTAAACTGGCCGTATTGTATGCTAAATTTGGTCTCAGTTTAAACCAGTGTTAGACCTACGTTACCAGTGAAAAAACCATCACAAAAAGCCAAACTAAATAGGATCATGGATAGGATGAATAGGGCATGTACTATTTCTAAAAACCGGAACACGGGAATAACTCGGAACACTCGGAACACTCGGAACACTCGGAAAAGACACTGTATCAGCCTGGAAAACCTGGTAAACTGGGAATTATTAGAATTAAAGAGGCAAATAGACCTTACCCTTATCTATAAAAAATAAATGTTCAAGATTTCTCTTTGTTTTATTTATTTAACGAGTTCATGGTGGCTGATCTCTATTCCTGGTTTTTGCACATGCGATTGAACAATTATTTTTTTAACCTGGGAACAGATTTTACCTAGATCACAGGTACACTTTTTCATAACTATGATGACAATATGCTGTGGATTGTTATAACCTGTCAAGAGGACAAGTACAAGTTATTACAAGACGGTGCTCAAGCCAAAATCACACTGTTGTGACACCCTGAAAACGTGACACGATTGAGTTTTAAAACTGACCTGGAAGTCGTCTGATAAAAGATTAGTGACTGATAGGTATGGTTCAAATGCAGCATAGAGACCAAGGTACATTACACCAAGAAACATGCGCTTTAAACCCTCTGTCACCCTACGAGATAAAGGGAAAAACAAATGCTTAGATGCGATTAAGTACCGACAAATCAAAAGGTCTGTGTCACGGTTGTCTAGTTTATTTTTCAATATTGCCAATTAAGCGTCCTTATTGGCCATGGAACTCAAACTTAGTGAAGAAAGTACTGTAAAGTAAATGGGGCTTTAGACGCATAGCACGTAAAGCTTTTTCTTCATGGGTTATATATCAAATCACTTAATTGTTTCAGTGTTTAATATCAACTCTGTCGATTCAACCCATTTTTCATTTGGAAAATGTATGATTCAAGTTTTTTCATGTTAAGGCACCGTTACCGTGAATTGTTGTCGTCCTTTTTGTCCACCAGTGTTCCATCTACAAATGACAGGTATGCCTTGATTTGAAACTGCAAGAGAAGTAACACATACTGTATAAGAAAAAAAAGACATACTCAACACACCTCTCTACAACAAACGACTCCCAAGGAAAAACAAATACGTCAATTGATAATGCGTAATTTGCTTCCACTTATTCCGATTGTTAACAACCTTTTCTTATTCAGCACTGAACATTGCTGGATCATGGTTGTTAGGTGAAGTTTATTCCATTGCAAGGCTAAAAGCAGCCCCAGAATTTTTACACCTACCCACTTAGAGTCTACAAAAAACTATGTATATGTTACAGGTCAAATTTGATTTCAGGTAAAGTTTGATTCAACCTAGGTTGATTCTCGATTTCCTTTGTCGTCTAGGGCAAATTTAGTTAGTATAACGTCAAGCTGGTCTCATCTGGGAACATCCAGGTCTGTAAACACAGCGACATATTGGGTTTGGTCATTAATCTTGTATTTTTTTTTTTACAAAAAACGTTTTACCTTTAAAAAAAATCCTCTATGGAGATATGATAAGTTTAGCCTAATGTCTTTGATAAAGGGAAGAAACATTATTCCTGCTTCAACTGCTTGGCTTTCTGCCAGTTGTATTCCCCGTCCTCTATGATGATTCTATTTGATTTTCGTAGTCAGCTTGTTGATAGTTTTCCATGTTTTGTGTTGATGTGTTAATTGTGACACGCAAAAATGTGTGAAGATATTATTCCTCAAGTGGCCAGCATCTGTGCGAATCTAGTGGAACTATTTATTTTGGGACACCAACATGGCTGCCGTTTCATTGTTTTGTAACACCAATATGGCCGCCATGACATCACATGAAAACAGTCTTAGGTTTTGGTTTTATTCAAGTACAGTTTAAGTTAGATACAGCTACACTAGACTATGAGCAGTCTCTCTTTATTCTTAGTCCATCCAGCAAAATGCAAGGCCAAGCAAATGACCACGCGTGTGACTGAAGGTGCGAGATGGCGGAGACACCTCGTTTCTTGTACCTCGTCGCTCCACGCCTGCACGCTCATGCAATCCTAAATCTGAAGGAAAAGAGAGACGGTTCGCAGTGTAGATACAGACCCTTGACAATTAAATTCCCTGTTTGTGTTATTACATGGCATGAATTTACCTGAGGGCCAACTAAAAATCCTCCATAAAAATAAGAAAGGCCAAGCATCTGAAAAAGGAAAGAAAACAGCGTTAACTTCACTACACATCTCCTAATCCAGGCATAAATAAATAGGCCGAAATCGTAAAACTTTTAAATTCAATGGAATCAAAATTCTTCAAAAAACATGTTAATGTTTCTCTCATAGTAGCTGGACTTTTGAAAACAGAATAATATTTCTTGTGAAAGCTTTGAACCCAGGAGTCATTTCATAAGTGGGTTGAGCATGATCGTCCGGGTGAACAGTCACTGCCAACAACAGTCCTATTCAGGACTACGTTCCCCTGGACAATCATGCTCAACCTACTTGAGAATAATATTATTATGAACTACATGTATACCTATACTAAAGAATTAGGTTATCTGACCAGAAAAAAAAAAGACCAAAACATGAATAAATTTATTTTTCTATTCCACGAGGCCTATGGGATGCATGACTGTGCAACACTCTTGAAATTGAAAGTACCTCTAACCTGGCTGTCACATTAAGAACTCAACATTAAAAAAAATAACATGTGTAGTGTGTTACCTGTAGAAGGGTAGGAGGTGTTGCAATGGCAGTGGTCTTAAAATCCGCAGACAATTTCTCCTACAAGAGTTAAAAAAAACAATCCATTTTACTGTTAACTCTAATCCACTGTATACAATACAATGTACTATAAGTACACTCTTTTTTTTTTTATAAGAATGTTGTTTTTCCGGCCCAGGCTGAATATTCTTATTTTTCTGCCGATTTTAGGCTGAAAATATTCTTGTATTATTCTTAAATTATAGCTTATGATATTTCCGTTTTAGAATTTATTGGGGTATATGTATATGTATTACATGTACCGTTCATCGAACTGTCATTAGCGTTGAACATTTTGCTATAGCTAGTGCAGGTTTTTTCGTTTTGTTGGCTAGTTTCGCCGTTCAGTGTATGTACCTTTCCAGTGCAAAAATATTTTTTAATGTTGTATCTCTAAAGTTGATGGTATTATATTAACCACAATAAACTCTTAATAAAATCATCTACAGTTGTATTATAAGTTATATGACTTGTAAGTTCAAGAAACATAAAACTTTCCAGTTTTTTTGTAGTACCTGGTCTTGGTTACCATCATAGTAGTCCCAGGCCACACCTACATGCATCAAAACAAACAATTAACTATCTTTCAGATGTTATTCTTTCCATTTATTTAAAAACGTTTCCACTGGAATGGCCAAAGATTATGTTTTATTTGCTTTTCATCCAGATTTCTTGAAAACTTTTTGAACAGGGTGAGCAACCATTGCCTTTGACTACTGGCACCATAACAGAAAGCCACCCTGATGCCGCATAAAACTCATTTCTAAAGCCAGCAGTTTCGTTGAAATCAAGAAGAAAAAGGGTTAATTTTCCCCTCCCCAACAGGGACTGGGCATGCACTAACAGCCAGATTTAAAGTTTCTAAACATTTATTTACAACTTACTTATAAGCCTCAGAGTCAGAATACACTGTGGTGTGGTCCAGTTCACATCATAATCTCCTGATGCATAGTAAGCATAACTTGTCAACAAATATCCCTGTAAGAGAATGGACATGTAAAAAAAGTTATTTATAAGTCATGCAAACATAACGAACCAAAAGTGACATTTTTTGGCTAAGGGTACTGGAGTTAACCCTTTGGCTATAGTTGCATAATTTCTGGCCAGTTTCTCAATACAGTTTAAAGAGAGGGAGAAGTAAAAAATTGCACTCTAAATCAAATTAATTTGAAACAGCTGAATAGTACCCTGCAAGCAGAGCTTTCTTCTCGGCATGGTTTTTAGCGGAGCTCTTGTGCGCGAAGCGCGCGCAGCGGAGCACCATGGGTAAGAAAATGTGGTAAACTACTCATCCAAGAAAATTTGGAAATCACGTGACCGTACACCGATCGCACGCCCGCCCGACCGTCCGTCTGAACCACAGGGCATACCAACGTCAAACGACTCAATCAACAGGTATGGCAACCCAAATGCAACTCAAGGTCATTTTGACAAGAAGTTGCATGGCTCCTCGCGTCTTGTGAAGCAGAGACAACTAAGGAGTCAATGAATACGAAAACGGAAAGCACAAATTGTCTCTGTATCCGTGTTTTCTAAAGTATTAAGCTTACATTAATTGTCATGTCCACAAATTTGGAATGTACGGCAAGAGAAAGACCGAGAAAAAGAGAAAGTAGGCGGCAGGCCAGCGAAGCTCAACGAGAAAAAGGGTGACAGAGATCTGGAGCGAGAGATAAAAAACAAAGGAGACATTTTTTTGTTGAAAGAATAACATGAAAATTTTGTAGCGGCGGTAACAAAATGAGAAATGCAAGCAGCCACCAATGTAAGGAGAAAATGAGCGGCAGTGAAAAAAAAGTGAACAAGAAAACGAGCTACAATTCCTTCATAAAACATGTAGCTAAGAAGTTTCTGGAAGTTTCACGTTGTGATCGTGCAATATAACAAAGGCAAAGAAATGTACAAAAAAAGTGTGCTGCACGTGCAAAGTTGTTTTTTTGCTAATTAGACCTATTGCTGTTTTTCACCGTTCTCCCGCATTGCCTTCACCGCTTAGCATTACTTGATTTTATATTTTGTTTGAGCAAACTATAAATATTATCGGGAGCTTCACTTTTAGCCCTGGCCATATCTATATATTAGCAATTGTAAAATAGTTCACATGATCCATAGTTGGTTTGTTTACCCCCTTGAGAGTAAACACACCAACTAAGCAACCCACAAATCAGATCCTCTAATACGATAAGTGTTTACAGTTCACAGTGATGTTCTGTGCCAAGATGTTTAAAGCCCTGTTTGCTCTAATCCTTACTAATATAAAGAAATAGGGCTTTAGTTGGTGGTTACCAGCCCTGCACTAGCCCTACCGTAATTGTCTTTTGAACAACCTGGCCCTGAAATTTAAATGTGTGCCCTTGAGAAGCCTGTGACCCTTAAAATGATGATGGACAACACTTACCATGTTAAACAAAAATGTGAGCCCAACTGTAACCATTGATGGTCCAACAATTTGCAAAAGTAGGTAAGAAACTATGATGGCTATTAACGAGTGTGCAAAACACCAGCCTTGAAAAAAAATTGTGAATTTGACAGCATATTAGTACTGCATTTAGCAAAATATGAAAAGAAAATTTAGTTTTTTACAGTTCATGACCACGTAATTTGTAGAAAAATTCATTGACGGTTGATGTGATAAGTGCTGTAAGGAAAATAAATCTGGAGAAATTGCATAATTTTCTGCATGATATCAATCTTTTTCTACGTGAACTCAAGGAAACTCCACAACATTTACAAATATTTTTCACAACTTATCAGAAGGCCAATGAATTTATTATTTAGAGTTAGAAGGGAAAGAAAACTGAGAATTAAACTACGTTGAAACAATTTAACCTCAATTCATTAAGTTCATTTTGAATGAGAGAATAACTTACATCTTACAAGTAATACATTTTGAACAGATCTACACTTTACACACTTACCATAACAGAAAGCAGCTACACCCAACCCACAAAGGGTAAAATACACATGCTGAAATCAGAAATAGCTTGGTATTAATAATAATCTCAGTCTTTATCCTCGTCCTGCATTTAGCATGAAGTTGTTCTTCTTGTGGTGCTAACTGTATTCTCAGTGGGTGTCTAATTACTCAGTTTCTTGCAATAACACTTAAGGTAAGAATACCCTTTCAGATAAGAAATAGTCCATCGGGATTCTTCCTCTATTTGTTTGGCGTTAACTTTAATTTCACGAATGTGTTAGCGTAGCATTTTCTTTTTTAAGGTTAAATTTGACCAGCATTTTGTGCAGAGAGCTAGTTGTATGGTCATGATTGACTTCACACTTGCAGATATAAAACTAGAGAGCTCTGACACTTATTTGCTGAAAACAAGGAAAAACCTGTCATAGGATTTCAAAGATATTTCCACTTATCATAAACATGTGGTTTTAAAAATACGCCGATATCTCAAGGGTTTTTATACCTACAAGAAAATAAATAAATCGTTCCATGCATATAAATAGGTTCAAGCTACCTTAAGCAAAATATTAAAATGTCTAGGTTTCCAGTAGGGAAGGCCAGTGTGTGGTATTACCATCACCCTAAGTTTGATTTCACAGTTCATCAGCCAATCAGAGCATTAGGACACAGGCTCATCCTCAACTTGCTGCAAGTGCAGGATGTGTTAAAACTTGTAATTATACAGTATCCCTTTAAACCCCATTGACATACAAATAGACCAATTTCGATATATCAAAATTCAAACTTGGCTGCAAGGCTTGCCGGGGGAATAAAATAAAAGAGATCATCTTGGTTGAGGCTCAGTGAAGAAAATTGTACATTTTTTGTTTTATTCCCCCAAGCCTTGTAGCTGTTACAGGTCAAAATTAAATTCAGGTTAAAATGTTTTAATCTATGCTGATTTTCAATTTCTTTTGTCTCCTAGCCCTAATTATACATGAATTAGGGCTAGAAGGCCATGGAAACTGAGAATCAACCTTGGTTAAAAAGTTTTAACCTCAATTTAATTTTGACCAATAACATAACCAAGTATGAATTTTAATAAATCGAAATTGGTCTTTTCTCCAGATTGATCTCCATACATTTCCCTGAAGAATACCAGTAGTTGAGAGAAAAGAAAAACAAACATTTCCCCCTTCTCCAATCAATTAATTGTCATGAATTTTCTCTTGAATATCTATAGATATTGTTAGGAGAAAACTGATGTTGGTTACTCTTGCTTTAACAACAGGTTCAACTGTTTTTATTGGCAATACATGTGAATGAACCTTGACACATCACATCATTCACATCATGGGTTGGGTGGGTACAGTAAGCTCATAAATGGACTGAGAGCGGCTATCAGTGGCGCCTTTGTATGCTGACATCTGAGCCTACTGTTCACATGTTAAAATGTATTGTAAGAGGGTACGTATGTTGTCCTCTCATCCACGACTCTTCATTCACTCCCTTCTTTCATTCATTCATTCATTTATGATGATAGTTACCTGAAGAACTGGGTTTCTCCTGTAGAGGAATGCATGATAAAAAAATGCCAGTGGATACGCTGTAAAACAATTAGTACAAAAAGAGAAATTGAGATAAAGTAGTGGTGTAGTAGAAATTGTAATAGATAAAGTAATAGTGAAGTAGCGGGGAGACGTTGATAAAATATCAGGTGAATTTATCTTGCATGATAATGTCCGTAATTCTCATGACCACTTTATCTATCAAAGCATCAATATTAAAAGGAGAAATTTGATGCTGATCACTCTTAGGGCTTATAAAGGGTCAAAATGTAAAACCACACTGCCTTGTTCAGATTAAACCACGTCATAAATGAGTGGAGATAGAGAACTAGAGTATTAAAGCTGAGCTGAATGATCATATCAAGCAAACTATAAAACAGCTAATAATACTGGCTTGGGAGCTTCTAAAGCGAAACTGATCTGACAAAAATTATTACACCTTACATACATCACGTTATGATCACATTGTTCGTATGATACTTATGATACAGAGATTCGTTTCTATTAAAACGGCCAAAAAATAAATCTGTTTCCTTTCGTGGTTATACAGATGCAGGTGAGCAGAACAAATGCCGGCACGATCGACAAATACAACCCAGAATTAGAATTTACCCGCTTTGTCATGAAAAAGTTTAATTCAAAGAATTGTACAACAAGGATAAAACTCAAAGTATGAAAGCAGGCAAGCAGTACTTTTCCTTTTTTTAATATAAAGAACCTTCGGCTCAATTATTTTTTAGACAGAGAAATTAATTCGGTCAGCCTGATCTTTCATAATAAAGGTCGTCCAAGGTGACCAGTTGATCGTACCACTTTTTAAGGGAAGAAAAGTGACTCTATTTTTAACTCTTAACTTCAATCAAAAATAACTAAATTATAGCACAGAAATAACGTACCTGAAAAGAGTCCAATGACTAATCGGAGTCCGGGATCGGATAATCCAGTTGCTTTAACAAGAAAATCTATGCTCCCAAACCCGCCGCAATCCGCCATTTTGATATGATAAATGCGAGTTGAAATTTGGGAAACTGGGGAGAGAAAATAAGAAAACTTCACGAGGTGGGAGGGGAGAGAGGGGAGGCAATAATCGGCTCACGAGGGGAACGTTAAAAAGACCCTGGTATGATTTTTTGGGCCAGTGGCTGAATATTTTTTAGGGCTACTTGGTGTGCATTTAATTTTCCCCGTGGTTTTCTGATGTCTTCGACAGGGTGTCCTGATCGTGGAACTGTGGACTGTGGACTTTTGACATGCCTGAGCAGTGAACAAATTCCCTACTCAACAATAGGCGCCCTTCGATAAATTTATTTTAATTTCAACTCCATAGTGATAGGCTCAGAGGACCGAAAAAAGGATCTGATGAATAAACATATTTACTACAAAATATGGTTCACTTTTAATTATTTAATTTTTTAAAAGAGTCTTTTTTTTCATTTATTTATTTATTTCGTTTGTTCGTTACATGAACTTTACACTGTGCATTTTTTGATAACCCCTCTTTAACTACTGATTGAATAAGTTCACTCTTGCATAGAACAATGAACTTTCTGGTATTGGATTACATCGTCACAAACTCTTTTGTAGTTTGTTCCTGGCGTCACAGTGCGCTGTTTTCACGCTCCCGCTCACTTTTCTTTCCAGCGGAAGTAGCCGTTTTGCATTACTGGGCAGCAATATTCACCAAAAGGTCTCACTTCCGGTTGACGTGCGTCCTCCACTGAAACGCCGCTTTGCTTTAAGCTCCCTCATGAGCGCATAATCTACGAACTCAGCAGTAGATACAAAGAAACGAGGAATGCATTGTATGGGCGTCAGGTGGTGTGCGGTGTGGGGAAGGGAGATTGAAACCAATTGGTTTTTTGAGGAAAACAACAGCTCTGCACGCGCATCACACTTTTTAGTACATTTCTCTGCACGCGCATCACACTTTTTAGTACATTTCTCTGCACGCTACGACGTAAACCACATAACGCGAAAAGTCCCTACTGAATTGACGAAAACTACGCATGCGGTATTCGTTCCAGTCCACGGGGAGGCCGTTCCCCGTTCACATGATTTCGCACCGGAACAAAATTCTCGCTCCTGTGCAGCAACCGGGGTGAGCCCGAGCCGGCATGACATTTTTTGATGGTATCTTGTAAACCATGGGGAAAAAATCAGCTCCTCAGAGTATAAAACTGACATACGCAGCAGTCTGGCCAAGAACTTGGGAGAGAAGGAGGGTGAACCGGCTAAAGGTGAAAGTCGTCTGTTTCAATCCAATAATCTCAGTTATGCCGATATAAATTAAGCGTGTGTGGCAAGTTGTACCAATTGTAGCCTGCGTCGCAAGCATTTCCGTTGAAACGGATCGAGGAACACGAGGTTTTTATTTTTGGCCGCGCGTGAAATGGAACGAGAGCCAAAAAATAAACGACGGGGGAGGGGAAGGGGAAGGAAGCGAAAGGACGAGGAAGGTCCTTACCTTTCTTCCCCACCACTCCCTCCTCTTTTCCTCGCGTCATTTTTCGCGCGGTCTTTTACTCTCGTTCCTCTTTCTTTGCTCCGAAACCAAAATGGCTTTAAATAAAATCTTCCTTTTTATCTTAAAACTTCAGAAAACCGAATATTTATTTAAGGTTCTCTTCCTATTAAGAAAATTACGGCGGGCATGAAAAACATTCCTTAATTATAATCAGTATTTCGAGTTTTCGTGTAAATCGAAGCCGGGCGTTTTACTGTTCGCCTTTAATATCCTCTGTTTTTCCTTTAGGTTCGAGAGGACATAAATCATGCCGTGCAAACTTTTATCTTATAACTACGCCAGTTAGGGAAGACAATGTTCTTGGCGAGAGAGTAGCCCAAAAAATAAAAGCCATAATTACTTAGAATTCGCCTTACTGCTACAAAGAAAAATAACTAAATCTTGATTATTCGAGGAGGAAGTTTCTTTCGTCACAATTGAGAAAGCAACATCCTGAACTAAAAGAAATAGAAAAATTACTATAGTGGTATTTGCTATGAGGGTCTCTTTCCAACATGCATTTACTCTACGATAAATCCTTTCAAACCAAATAGGCAATTTTTTTGGCTTGGAAAATAATGGTGAAAGAGCGGAGTTTAGTTTTTATTCTTTCGTGCTATGATTTGATTGAATCGCAATGTCTTTTGAATTGGCAGTTTGACAAATATGAAGAATAGATATGAATATCATTCTGCCCACAAAAACATTTCGAGTGCTTAAAACCAAACTTTCAAAGTGAAAGTTTACTTCATAATAAACTGAAACAAAACAGTTCAAAAATGGAAACAGCTCAACATCGTTCATTCGAATCATAGCCTTCATTCGTCGATAAAAGAGGGTTTCTACCAGTCATCCACGTTTGAGGAAGTTGTGCAGTCCTTAATCACGTGAAAACTGTTGGAGCACGCCCAGAAAAGTACAGCACTTAGGCATAAGTGAAAGATATTAATTCGTCCACGCCTTAAAACCGATCATTTGATAAATCTTCAATCTTGAGGTTTTTAACTCGATCAACAGAGTGAAACTTTTCAAGCCTACAGCTCAGCTAAGTCCTACCAAGAGATGAGCTTTACAATCAAGCTAAGGTAAAGGTTACTTTAGTTTAGAAAACTAAGAAAAACACCGGAGGAAAGGTGAGTGAGGATAAAACAGAGTTAAAAACGAGTGATCATTTCATTTAAACACGGAAAGGAGAGACGATGAACATCTGTCACGATTCTGGATGTTGTAAGACCGAGAACGTTTAAAGTAGCCTGTGAATAAAGCCGCCTTTCAACGCTTTCGCTACTGGAAGTATCTCCCGCGCCGAGAGGCGGCTCCATTCGCATGGTACGCTTAAACTGAATCATTGAAGTCGCGAAGAGAAGTCTGACCACAGGTCTTTGCTCTACTGAGGAACCAGGGGCTTTAAACATTACGTGCAGATCCTAAACTTGAAATGTTGACACTACGTCTATAAAGTAAAAACGCTTAAGGTTTATATATGCTTCATGGCTTATAGAGTTATGATATAATTACCAAAATTTTCTCCATTTTTGGCGGACAACTAACTAGCATAAGTTGTCCTCAGTATACATATTCTATTCTTCATCAGATTTGCTCGTTCTAGCGTACTGCGCATATACGTCAACAACCCTTTAAACCACTTAGACTGGAGGAAAAAGTTCACATGAAAACCGCACGACAGCAAAACCTCGGCTAAACTCTTTCTGCCAGAAGTGACCAAAGTCAAAATTTCGACAAAAGTCCAAATTTCATTTTGCGAAAAAAAAAAGGCGGAAAAATAATGAGTACTGTGTCAAAGAACTGTCAGAGAGGATTTATTTGAATGGTGACACCGCCATACTTTAAACGCACACTCACAGTTAGAAAAGAGATTCCTTCGTTCACGGTGGGACTAGAGGGTTAATACTGAAATAAAAAAAGACAGCCCCCACAAGCAGTGTGCAAGGAATTACCTCTACGGAGTTCTAAAAGACGCAAATAAATATTCCATAAATAAATTACAATAAGCAAGGCTTACAAATTCACTCTCGCACGAAGGGATTTTTAATATGTCAAAATAATATTTTTATTCTTTATCAGTTTTTTATACTTATGATATTTTGCAGAGCAATGGAACTAAGAAACAAAGAAAGAGCTAAGATACTCTCAGCAAAAATTCAAAGCAACCTTTCAAAACGCATGTCGAATTATTTCGCTTCTGTTTCAACGTCGGGAGAAGAATTCCTTAGTAGTAAAGAATATTATCTTAAAATCTTTTAACCGTTAGGGAACGCTTTGTATCCATTCAATGACTTGAAATTAATCTTCTAGTTCAGTTTTTTTTTTTTCATGACAAACTTTCAGTCTAGAATGGGAAAGATATATAACGGACCCACTTGAAAGGTCAAAGTAGCATCTAATATAAATGTTCAAACTCTGGAATTCTATTAACAAAACACACAATATAGACAATAAACAATACTGATCGAAAGAGCACGTAGAATGAGGCCACTATACAAATCTCTAATTCCAGGGTTCATACAAAAAATTGCAACTATTTTTCAAGGACTTTTCAAGGACCACATTAGATTTTCAAGGACCACCTACTAGGAATATAATGTCACAGATTGTACAAAAATGCACATTCCCAGTCTATTCTAATAAGACTTTAAGGCTTAAACTGTTTGCTTCACAAACTTCTCTACATTTTTCAGTTCACTGGTCGTAAATTGATAGTTAATTATTGCATAAAACATGGAGCACTTTATGTAAATAACCTTTAAATTTTCTGAGCTATGATTTATATTCTGTCTTGGACAACCAAAAAGCATCAAAAAACTCTTTCCAGGCCACTACATCCAAAGTTGAACAAAATTCAAGGACTTGTAAAGAAATTTAAGGACTTTTCAAGGAAAAATGGAATTCAAGGACTTTTCAAGGACTTTCCTAAAATTCAAGGACTTTTCAAGACTGTGTGAACCCTGAATTCACTTTTTTCCTTTTTTTTTTACGTACAATGTATAAAAAAGGTAAAGAGTTCTTTAATATATGTCAGTAGCTCAAAATAGTCATCTGACTAACAAACCTGAGGCCAATGGTGTGCTCATTTTACCCCCCCCTCCCCTCTCTGTATCAGTGCTCCGTTTTACGGGTATTTAAAGCTACTTAAAGCTACATGGACACTGGGAAAGAAGTTGAAAGAAGGATTTGGCGGAGATAGCACCTAGGAATCGAATTCGGGACCTGCCACACAGAGGGCCGCACACTAACCAACTAAGCTAATCCCTGCTGCTAAAAATCTTGATGAGTTATTCCATCTGGCTGTTAATCCACAGCATATTCAACATTCTCTCTCATTTAGTGACTTATTTTATTTTATTGATCTTCCACAAGAATTTTATTACTAACTGTTGCTTCAGATGAAAACCATAAATTCTACAGAAACGAAGAAACAGCAACAAAGTTAAACTGAATAATGGGATCGATGAAGTAAGGCTGTGAGATAATGAGTATTTTCTTTCCAACATAAGCT